ATATTCCTTTCCTCTTCGGTACTTACTAGTTACTAGGGTATATTAGAAGAATTCAAGGGAGCTATTTAAAGAACAAGGGTATAGTTTGGGTATATTCGAAGAAATGATCAGGGTGTTGTTTTAGACCAAAACCCCTAATATGCTTAAAAGGAATCAAAAAGGTTTTCAGTGTAGGGTATATTAGAAGAATTTCAGAGTGATATTCAAAGAAAGTGTATTAAGGGTATATTCGGAGAAATGATCAGGGTGTTGTTTTAGACCTATTCCCCTAATATGCTAAGGAATCAAAAAAGCTCTCAGTGTAGTTTCATGACTGATATAGGTTTAAATATCAAGTCTCGAAGGTAGGTATACCTATTAGCTGTTATAGATGTTGGATAATTTTTATGGATTGATTGATAGTAGCCGTTTTCACGACGGCCATCTGGTACACATTTGGTGCACATCTAGCACAGATTAGGTGCAGATCTGGTCAAATCAGGTTCAGTGTGTCTCTTAGCAGCTATCAGCTAGGGTTGCACTAATTGCTTATATGCCTGCTTTGTCATATTATCAGAGAGCATCATCGATTAAAACACTGAAATAAATTCATAAAATGAAGATATTTGCTGTAAAAGAAATTAGGTGCAGATTTGGTCAAATCAGGTGCATTCGCCGGATCGCCCGTCGTGAAAACGGCTAGTATTCCACGTTTAGAAGTAATTTATTCCAAATTTGTAACTGTGTTATCAATGCCACTGAAATGGCGATGTTATTATGTCATGTCAATATCGGATGATTTATTATTTCCTTGACAATCACAAAACTACTTCGATTTAAAATAAAATTGAAATATGAGATTTAAGCTGACTCCGACGGAAACATTGAGAAAAATGATTTGAGGCATTCAATTGCCTTCGGTAAATGTCGCAGGGAATATTTTAATAAGCCAGGATCGAACTGGCAAATAAACCATAAAAAGCTGTTTCATTACATGATTTGCGGACGTATGTGATCGATCGCCTCGGTCTCCAAACACGCTCGTGAATAGTTTGTTGACATTCCAAAAGTGTCTTTAAGCAGATAAATTCATTTGAGTCAAAATAACTGAATGGTTGTCAGCGTGGCATTAAAACGATCATGTCTTCGCTGGTAAGATATCTTTTTAATGCGGCCAACACCAACGGCAGTATTTCAACTCGTAAGCCATGCTGATAATTCTATGTTACATTATCAGCATTGTTTGTGGCAGTAGTGTTTATAAGTCATTTATTCATCAGCTTGTTATTACCAGGTGAGAGGGATCGCCAGGAAGGATTTTGAGTGTGCTCCTTAAAACCGCTACCTCAATTCAAAACCTGTGTTGAAGGTGGCCTATTCCCTTCAAACACCTGCTTTTAAACAACTAAGCCTTTTCAGTAGCGAAATTGGCAAACATCTCGCGTGACGCTTACAGCCTTCATGCGTCTGTGGGTGCAGAGCCCGTCTCGTGACGGTTATTAGTCGATATAATTCGCTCGCGCGCTCAAGGCCGAGGCAGTCTTCGGGTTGGGACGATCCAATACGGCTGAGATGAGCAGACGCAAGCCATCGGTGGACTCGAAATGACGGTCACGATGTGGTTTTAAGTATTAATTTACACAGAGCACGTATTGGACTCCGTGCGTGCATATGCCGAGCGCTGGTGGCGTAACGCATAACGGAATGGGCATGAGTGTCCAGAAAAGGGCTTCATAGCTGTATAGCGTGTAATGCAACGCAAGAAAAGCTAGGGCGACAAACGACGCTCGATGAGTTCGACGTTCGACGTTCGATGTTCTGGCAGCGTCTGGCACGGTAGCACTGTGTACTATGTCAGCGTTTATCTCAATCGGATAATGAACTGTGGGTAAAACGAACAGGAACCTTATATAGCAGTACTAAACATAATGAAAGCTCCCGTAAGGCTTGCTAGCAATTGCGAACGAGTAAAAATATCCAATCCAGTGGAACGAAACATGAAGATTCTATATTATAATTTCTAATAAGTGTCAATTTTAATTGAGCAGGTTCCAATCGCAAAATATCTACAAAGCGCGATTTCAACGTATGAAATGTACCACCTTATCTGAGCTGAACTGAGCGCATTTAAGGATATTTAGGTCATTTGCATCGCCATTAATCTATGGTTTCAATCTCCTTGCCATTTATTAGTCTCTTTAATCTTGTACTGAAAGCTACCGAAGGCTTTCGTCCTTCTGGAACTGAGTTCAATAGTCCAAATCATTAGTTATGCTGATTTGCAACAACATACGTGTACAACATACATAATTCAACAGGCAACGCTTTCCTCTTGATGTAGGTATATGAAAGTAATGAATAATTTAGGTATTGGAATTCGCCTTATAATTCAGATACCGTTCCTCTTGCTCCAAGTATTTCCATGGTCGTAGCCGTATATGAAATTGTAATAACAAAATGTAGGAACTAAAGTATCCGTGATAGACGGTCTGCGCTACTCCATGATTTTTACTGGGCTGGGCAAATAAATATTACCGACTTTCAGTGAATATGATAACCTTCTGTCTAAATTAATGACATAGTTACTGACTGATCGTGCTATCTCACTTTTTGCGAAACAAGCTTTGAGTATCAGATGGGAGAGATGATATTTCATAGGCGGTGGAACGGGGAGGGCACTGGGGCACCGTGCCCCCCTTTGATTTTGGCATTTTAACATTAGCCCTATGGGCGTTGCATGGAAAGAATGGGACCAAGAGTCGGCAGTGCCCCCCCCCCCCCTCCCTTAATTGAAGATGTTCCGCCGCTACTGTGCTATTTGACGGCCTTTGTAACCCGTTTCATATAAATATTACTATCATTGGAATGAAATGGCATGTAACGCCTCGGGTATTTGTTTCATACCGTTGCTGTCATTGAATGCACTCTATTTCATGATACCGGAAAGGGACTCAGAATAAAATGGATTCATCGCCGGGTATGACAGATCAGGCTTATGTCAATGGGTTCGAAGATTGGGCGTTGTGCCCGAACAAATTTGACCATGAATCAGGCTTAACTTTTGTCGCTTGCTTCTTTTGCAGATATCTAGGGTCCACTCACTAAGTTATGATTTATGCTATTCTTACAGCACGAGCTGCATGCAGCGCTTATTCGAGTCACTGGCCTGTGCTGAGATAATGATCGTGAATTTGCAGCTTGTTGAATTTATGCTATCTCAGAACAACCTCCTGGAGTTGACAGCATGGCGACATCATCCAGTCTTTTTCGGACTGTGGAAGATTAAAAAATGACGTTAAATTGAAATGAAAGGATTAGCAGATCAGTTTTAACCGTAAGAAAAGATACATTACCGAAAACGACTTAAGTCATCCGATAAGAGAACCTTGACATAGCTTTGAAACACTCCATCGTGGCCCCTCTGACCCATGTGGCTGACTCTCCCGCGACAGTTTCGCTTTCCGAACTGTCAGGTGACTCTATCGGGGCTTCAGGAGCCACCTTGAGACTGGACACTGGCGATCAGCACCAGACGGCGCCCCTCCCTCTGATCCCGCCCACCGACCCGCATGGCCTCCGGCCGTGGCCAATCTCCGACAGTAAACGAATGTACTTACCCCTATCTCTGACCCTGGCCCTGACCCGGCGACCCCTCCCACTGACCCGAGCTGCAACGCAATAAAACGTCACTCTTCACAGCTTCCGGAGCTCTGAAACCGGCCTGAAGCGTCCGAAACAGCTGCCTGCATTGGGGGCAAACGATTCCTATGATTTTCACGAGGCAATTCATAACGTCAGTTTGTCAGCCTGTGGTTGGATGTTCGGGACCTTGTATTGTACCCTGTGTTGCCACGGCAGTAGGGCCCTCTCTGACCTTTCAATAGCCCGCTGTTGGCTGTCTGTCTCAAGATCGGCCCCTGTTAGCAAAGGTAAATAGAAAAAGTCCCTAAGCACTATCACAGTGTCTTCGGTGGGCTAGCTGCTAGAAACGAGGACAGCCGACTGAGGACATAAGGAATGCATATTGCGTAATATCCAGATCCACCTTTCTTCAGGACAGTTTCTTCAAGACACCTTTCTTAGCTTAGGACAGCTCTGACTCCTGGGGATATTATTTGGTGGTGAACTGCCTGGTAGTTAGCGGGCCAGGTCACCCGAAGATGTCGTGGCTCCACGAAGTCCGGATATGAGACAGACTCCACCAGGTGGTTAAACGAAGCCATTGGACCTCGTTGAGAAATAGGATAGGAGACTCTTGGTGAGCGTGTTAGCACTGAGACAAAAATGTATAGCGTAAGCTGAGCAACTATTGGTATAGAAAACTCTTGGTAAGCGTCTTAGACATGAGGCAAAAAATATATAACATATAATAAGCAACTTTTGTTTTGGGTGGGTCAGACCCAAGATAAAAAATAACCTGTGGTTAGCGGTGAAGTGAGCACGCTGTCAAATGAGGATCTGAGCCCATTGATAGCCGTGCTCATACCTTATTGTTCACGCTCCTTCAATTGTTGTTGCCTTTATTGGCTCACTGCATCTTACGGGAGACACATATAAAGTTTATATACGAGCAAATATGCTCGTAGTTTTCACCTATATAGTTTTCGCTTTTGATGTTCCGAACCGAACGCGTAAGCTCTTCCAGGTTTGTTTTCATCCTAGCATTGCTATTCGAGTCGGCATACACGCAAAATATGCCTACAAGCACGGTGAAAACATGAATTATGCAACGCATTACATAGCGTAAACATCGGGATAAGGGTTCAAAAGGAAGACACGTCGACCGAGCTTGCTTTGATTAGCTAAGTAGCCCCGATACGCAAAATTCGTCCGACACTGATGCCAATACAAGCTGAAACTTCTTCCTGAGCTTCGAAATTCTCATGTATCGTATGTTTGGTGTTCAAACCGTTCAAACGATTTTCTTAAAGTCAAATGACAGAAACATTTTCGTACCGATCCATAAACACCTTCAATTCATTCCCGCCGATCGTCCTCACACCATGCCTCCTGTGTCTCACCTCAGCACGCTCCTGCACCATGGGTCCTCCGATCCGTCGGTCCGTCGGTCCGTCGGCAGCGACGCAACGCACCTCCCACCACCGACGACGGCACCGCGCGACTGAGGCGACGATCGCGTGGCGCTCCGACCGGCGCGGTTGCGGCCGTCGCGAGACGCGACGGCGGCGGCGCACCAATGATAGAGGGAGGGGGGCAGGGAGTGGAGGTGACATTCGCGTAGGAGCTGAAGAGGGATTGTAAGGCTTCAGAGATCAGGGGGCTCAAAAGGGAAGTGCGAAATGCTCCTCGTGTTGCATAATATGAATGTCGAGGGCGTAGTTCTGATGACAGCTGGTAAGAAAAATCAGGTAGGTATCGAGAAGTTAACAATGTTTTTTCATTCGATATGTCTTTACTTACCGGTAGGAAGCAATTTGAAGCATTGTCTTAATAGTTAGGACGCGTGGACGGTGGCTCTGGGTGAGAGAGGACGCCTGTGAGCGTCCGCCGCTGAGAAAGTGTGCCCTTTGTGAGAGGGTGCTTAGTGCTTACTGCCAACCTTCAATTATGCTGCGCCGAATCAAGTCATATGGCTGTCGCTAGATGTCACTACGGTGTGCGCCGGAAGTTATGCTGTACCGCACATCTCCAAACCTGTGTTGGACCGTTGCCGCAAGATGGCACTACATACAGTTTGCGCCTGAAAGTATACTGTACCGCATGACATTTGGAACTACAGGGTGATTTTTTTTTTTACTTGTTAAAAAGTAATGAGGTCTAGTGGCATTAAAATATAAATATGTATTGCAAAATTATATACCAGGATGACAAGCATTCTGGGACATTTGGATTTCATGCAGACACGATGTGAAGGAACGTCCATCGTGTATTTTACTTGTGCTTGAAGTTGCCCCCTCTCTCACCGACACGAATCAGCCCGCCTGAGCACGTGTTGAACAGCACCGTGGACTCCTAGACCCTTTAGGCGGACTGAAAAGGCTCCTATCACCCATTTTTAGCTCTGCCAGATATTTCCAATATTTTCTTGTTATATCTGCCATAGCTGGGTCCAAAAACTAGAAGTCTATGAAGGGCAGGTCGAGGATTTCGATACTGGTGGCCCTGGGCCCTGGTGGTGTCTGATTCGCTGTTTTTCTTTCTCCCTGAAGACTGATTCTTTAGAGGCTGCACATACGCCAGATGGACCGTTTGAAGGTTATTTATGACTACAAGCTTGTTCGTACATTATTTAACGTCTTTCTGGGATATCTCCTCGATGATCGCATGCTTCGAACTGCCTCAATGCTTCAAAATCATCGTTTTGTGTCGTTCCTTACTGAACGGCGGTGGACCATGCGTGCCCGATTGGTGGGACATTTTCAGGCACCATTGGGGCCGAGGCCTTCGGTTAAAAGGGACAAATCATGACACCATACAAAATGTCCCAGATTTATCTATCACGTGCATTGCTTTTTTGCACGCGATTTTTCGATTTAGGGACCACCATTGCTTGACATTTACTTTTTAACAGTTAAAAAAAATCACCCTGTATGTAAATATGCAAAGCTTACCACGAAACCTTACGGGCCACAGCCATACGTGCATGTAGTTATCAAGAAATAGATGGCTTATGTCAAGAATCCAATATCGTTTCTCAAATACCCACGGTCAGCATTTAATGCATACACAAACGGGAACGTATCTCAGCTGAACGAACCACCAGTTGCCAATTGAATATTTCCCATCTCCCCTGTCTCAACGGCCCCGTTAGTGCTCCAAAAATGGCAATCTATTTCACAGCGCCGATAGCTGTATCGCAAAGGCAAACGCCCGTAGCGCAATACGGGATCAAGGGGCGCTATGGCTCGGATCTGCACAAGCATGCAGGTTATGTAACATTTGACGTCATTATTCGTAGTGTGTTGTAACTTGCGGGACAGATATTGTACCTATGTAAGCGCAGTGATCCAGAAGCATTAATCCAATGAAAAGAGACGCGTGTTATTGCAACATGAGATGCGACTTAAGTTGGTTACCAACATGCATTTCCAGGAAGGAAAATAATTGCTCACGATGATAGGAATAGTGGCATTGATATGAACAGTGAACATAACAATCAGAGACATTGAGGTATTTGTGGTATCCTGAGCCGTCCCCCCTCCGACCGCGGCTGGGATCGCCCGTGGCTAGGCCGGTGCGGCGGCCGGAGACGCGCATGCGTGGGCCGGCGCGGCGGCCGGAAGTGTGGGCAGTCGCCGCTGAGCCCTGGCCGCGTGGGCATGTGTCTGGACGGGGAGCTGGCACGGGGGAGTCCCGTGCCGGGTGTGTCGGACTAATACAGAAGTGTGCCATTCCGAACCGCTCTCTGGCCAGGTGTCGCACGGCCGGCACACGCGAGGCGAGGACAGAACCGCGACAGAACAACCTGGCGACGGAATGAGATGTCTCGCGAGTGTTTAGTGCGCGGTGGCGGGCGAGAGCGGATGGGCACGGAGGACGAACGGTGAGATGCGGAGCGAATTGCTAATTGCTTAGTGCTTAGTTTTTTTTTTCGCTGCTGCATGTGTTCGGTTTGCCCGTTGCTCGATGGTGACACACGTGCATGTTTTCACCGGATTTTGGCAGCGGCCATGTTGCGCAGTCGACGCGGTGCAGTGGTTGGCGTCGGCGGGCTGCGCTGTGATTGGGCCGGCCGGTGGTGACGTAAGACTCTCACGGTGCGTGTGATTGGTCGGGACTCTCCACTCGGTGACGTGATTGTGGCGTCACGGTCACGTGACTCCCCCGCCGGAGAAAGCGCGGGAACCTCCAAGAACCGACAGCGGCGGCGCCAGGGACCGGCGGCCGAGCGGTGGGGGAGAGGAGAGGAGTGGAGAGTGACGGCCGGGAGAGGACCGAAGTGGAGTGACGGCCGGGTGAATCGAGAAGGCCGGGATAGCGACGACGGCCGGAGTCCGCGGCGGCGGTCGGGGTGTTGTGATCGGGGCAGGTAGCTCAGCCCGGGATCAGGATGAACGGCACGGGACTGTCGATTCCGGCGGTGGAGCCGTTTCGGCAGGGCGACGATTTCGGCCGGTGGTTGCGCGGTGTCGAGCGTTACCTGTGTGCGGTCGGGATCCAGGAGGCCGACCGGAAGTGTGCGGTGCTGTTGCATCTGGTCGGGCCGGATGTTGCCGACCTCAGCGAGACTCTGCCGGAGGAGACGAGAGAGACGGCCGACAGCTTCGAGCGGCTCAAGAGGAAGCTGACGACCTACCTGTCTCCGGTCAGGAACGCGGTGGCAGAGCGCTCTCTGTTCCACGGGATGCAGATGGAGCCGGAAGAGGACCTGGAGAGGTTCCTGGGCCGTCTGCGAGCGCAGGTCGTGCGCTGCGGCTATGCAGCCACTGAAGTGGACCGGGAGCTGCGCGATCGGTGCGTGCTGGGGAGCCGAGCCGGTCTGCGGGCCAAGCTGGTAAAGCTGGCCGCCTCGAAGGGCGACGGTTTGACCCTGGCCGAGGTACGGCAGACGGCACGCGCGCACCGGGACATGGAGCAGCTCGGTGCTCAGCTGGGCGGCACGCGTTTGGCCGAGGCACCGGCAGCAGACGCTGAGGGAGCCGTCAATGCCGTGAGGTTGCCCCAGTCACGGCTCGGAACGTGCTTCCGCTGTGGCGGCCGCGGCCACTGGCAACGAGACTGTCCTGCTGCGGGAGCTGTGCCGCGCGCCCGTGACAGCCGCTGTCCGGCTGGCCAGGCGGCTAGCGGCGGACGCAGCGGAGCGGCCGGAGAACACGGCCGGGGCGCGCCGGGCAACAGCGGCAGCGATGGAGGGCCCAGGCAGCGGCGATGCTTCAAGTGCGGCTCCACCGGGCACCTGAAGGCGGCATGTCCGCAGCGGCGGGTGCGGCTGGTGGCTGCGGAGGAGGAACAGACGGACGGCGACGGCGACGCGTGGCTGGTGAGCTCAGTCGACGGCGACGTGTGGCTGGTGAACTCAGTCGGAGCCAGCGTCGCGGAGCCGGCAATGAAGACGGTGACGGTGAACGGCCAGCAGCTGACCATGGTCGTGGACACGGGGAGCCCGGCGTCGCTGGTGAGCGCGGAGACAGCGCGGCAGCGGGGGCTTCTGCAGCTGCTGGACCCGTGTGACCTGCGCTTGACCTCGTTCACAGGTCAGGTCATTCCCTTGAGAGGGGAGGCGCTGGTAAGCGTCACGGCGTCGGGAAGACCCGCGACCCGTCTGCGGCTGGTGGTGACCGGGTTGGGACCCCACCGTCCGCTGATGGGACGCGAGTGGCTGCAGGCGCTTGGTCTGATGACGTCATCGGCTCGGGTGTGCCGCGTGCAGCCGGCGCGGACGCTCGAAGGCGTGCCGGAGAGGCAATCAGCTGTCTTCAACGAGGAGCTGGGACGCATACCGATCGAGGGAGGACTGCGGCTGAAGTCGGACGCCAAGCTGATGTACCGGCGGGCGCGCCCGGTGCCGCTGGCGCTGCGAGATGCCGGTGGAGGAATCGGACGCCGGGACACCGGCGGGAGCAAGGAGCGCCGGGATGCTGGTGGACGACGGGGCGCTGGCGAAGCCGGCGGGCGCCGGTACGGCGGCGAGAGCAAGAGGTGCCGAGACGATGGCGGGCGCCGGGAGGCCGCCGGGTGCCGGTGCGCTGGCGGAGGTGGCGGGCGCCGCGGCGATGGCAGGCGTCGGGGCTCTGAGGGAGCCGGAGGCCGCGCGGGTGACCTCAGGATCGGAGGTCGCGCCGGTGAACGCGAAGGAGTCGGCGGCGCCGGGAGCCAAGTCGTTTGCGACTGCGGCGGCGCTGGGAGCAGAGTGCGTCGTGACGGCGGCGGTGCCGGGAGGCGAGTCCACCGGAACCGCGGTGGCGCTCGGCGCCACCACGCAGCACTCCGAGGCAGCACGGAGCGGCAATGGACGGCAGCCGGCAACCGAGGGAGAACGTTCGGAGCCGGTGCGGAAGTGTGGGTCCGGTGCTACGGAGGGCCACAGGAGTGGGTCCGCGGCCGGGTTGAGACGCGGACCGGACTCGTCTGGTACGAGGTGGACGTCGGCAGAGGCAGTCTGTGGTCGCGCCACTGCGACCAGCTCCTGTCGGCGGCGCCAGGCAGCACCGCTGCGGCCGGCG